GGAGCTTGTTTTTAGACATTCAGCATTTAAGTATTGGAATTATTTCCATAAATAGCATATAATTCCTTTGTTCATTAACAAACACAAAGCTAAGGTGCTCAACACTGTTACACAGTCTGCCATGTTTCACTGCTTAAAGTGGCATAAAACTGGTTTAGAAACTTACATGAACCCGTTATAGAGACACTCACTTTTTGGTTTATGGTACCAGAAAGCTCAAAATGTCAATATGAATTAAAAACATTTTCTTATATAATGATTCTAAATCATGTTATGTATTTATGTTACTTAGGACCCCTGTTATATGAAAGTCTGTATTTCAAGTTGTTTGAATTAACAAGGTCCAACTTAGCACATTATATTATTTATAAAAGATATCAAATTTGGAAACAAATAGTCTGATACAAGGATTGTTTAAGTTTAAAAAACCCCACAGCCCTGTGCTTGTGTCTTTAAGATTTCTCATAAAAAGTGATGGTTTGTAACAACAACGAATTGGACAATTCTAGAAACAGGAGAAAATGTTTATAGCTGAGATCACTGAAATGTTCTTTGCTAGGTTAGCACTAATGAAACAGGGTTTCTATCCCTTGTGAGTAATGCTTATTAGAGGGCAAGTAAGTATAAGTGAGACTAGACTAGGAGAAAAATTTACCATCATGGCAGCTGTCACCCCTCACTCCAAATCCACTATCTAAAAAACATCATCCTGATGAGATTTAGCCAGAGAAAGGGAAGTGGGTGACATTACCCTTTCTACCATCTCCAGCTAATATCTGAACCACTTCCATAATATGGAATTTGAACTCATGTCATCATCCTCTTCCTAGCATGTTAGTTCCTTTCCTGCTTTCCTTCTCTTTCTCTCCATCTCTTCTGTTGCCTTATGTCTAGTCACGGCAACTCCACGTTTTGTAATGCTGCTCTAACCCGTGATCAGGAAGGCAGCTAAAAGCAACACATGAAACTGCTCAGCGCTAGTAAGTCTGGCAGGACCTGCCTGTGGAGACTCTTGAGCTGGCTCTGCATTTCTTTAGCAGCGGAGCTGCAAGTAAAAATCAAAGATAGAAACAAAACCCACATTTTCTATCTTTGCTATTCTATTCCCTGCCCTTCTCTGTGAATTTTAACATGAAATAAACAGGATTGAAGACTAGCAAAAACAAGCCCAAACTATTTAAACTAACCTTTCATTTCCCTAATAAAGGACTGTTAATATATTTTTAATAAGTAAATAGTCCATATAGAAATAATACTTCATGCAGCAATAATATGAGAGAGGAAATATAGGATATTCATAACAATAAAACTTTACTTAATAGTACCTATTTCAGCTGCTTTAACTGCTTTTCTTTCCTTCCTCCCTCTCCCCAATTTTTAATAAAAGGTTTTAAAAAATTAATGGTGGTTGTTACAATGGAAGTAGAGCCATAATAACAAGACATAAAATCCTGTGCTGTACTTCACAGTTAAAATATTAAGCAGTTAGAAAAAGGTTACATTAACATTTTATCCCTTGTTGGGCCCAAGACACCCCTTAATAAAGCAACATCATGAAGCCAGGAAAAAAGGTAGGATTGCTGCAACCCTCAAGTTGAGAACTCTTGGCCTACTAAAATTCATGATTTACATTTGATGAAAAATGCTTTTCATGATAGGACTCACTAGAACTACTAATTTTATAATCACTTAATCTTGGAAAATTAGAATGCAATAGCTGCACTTTGACAAATGATGTACAAGATCCCAGGTACCTAGGCACCACCACAGTGCAGATTCTTGAACAGAGATTTAGTGCCCCCTCCAAAAAAATGCAAACACTCAGTTAATTCAAAAGGACCTCAATAAGTTTATTTTAACCAGAACAGCATTCATTTATCTCTAGTATTCAATTAAGTATCAACTGGCTTTGGTTTCCTGGACAAGACGTACATTAAATCAGAAGTACATTCGTGCTTTGCTAATGCTAATATTATGAAGTTTGGCAGACAGTCTGTCCACAAACCACTCATTATGCCAGATTTGGAATGGGGTGGGACAGAGCTGCTTACAGCTGCTCTGCACTGTGCTGGTCTAACACAAATACTCCCCTGACCTACTGGAGCTGCTCTTGAGATGCTATAATGCTACCAGTGCAGCATGTACAGCAGAGCAGGAGACAGATCATGTCAGTGGTCATTCTGGATGAGAAGTAAGTGTAAACAATTATCTGAGGAGCTCCATTTATTTAATAAGGAGACACTCAACACACACTGGAGTTTCCTTAGGGTTTCAGCAGTTTGACTCACATTAGAATTAACACAGATTTTTAAAGATGCTAGTAGCAAACTAGCAAGATTTAAGAGTTTATTTGGCACCTAACCTAAAAAGGCATTTAAAAAAATTCTATTAGACAATTCTCGCCATCAGTAGGGACCAAAATATGTTTGGAAATCTAGTCCAAGTATTTCGGGTATTAGATGAACAACATTACATTTTCAAACAGAGAGGCACAAACAGAAGTCCACAGCCCAGTACATGAAATCTCTTCGTATACAGATAGTGTGAAATTCCCTTCTATGCAAAGGGCCTGCACAAATGCTCTCTATGCACCATTTAAAACCTTCGTCTTCTATAGAAGGCTAAAAATATTGTGCGTCACTAAAGGCATCTGACAGGACAAAGGAAGCATCAGCAGCAGAGCTGTTAAGAGAAACAGTGCCATTTACAGATAGCTTACAGAGCTGAATGCAGTTTAAGTGGGGCAGATCCCCTTTGTGTAAGCCCTTCGCACTAAACTGAATTTCACATTATTATACTAGCTTTTAAAGGCTCTTTCACAGGGGCAGGCAGTTATTTCAGCTGGAGGGCCGCTTAATGAGTTTTGGTGAACTGTCAAGGGCTAGAAAGGTAGCCCCGCCCCTTAATAGGTGCCACAACCCCTGGTTACCATCTAGGAGCTGGAAGTCCTGCCCCCTAACCCTATGACCTTTGCCACTGGCAGTCCCTCTTCTTGCCCCCAGTAGTACTCCCTTTGGGAAGGGGGGCTTGCCATCTTGGAACCGGAAAAGACCCCAAACTATATACTACCAAATCCCGGGACGTCATTCTCCCCTTGTACGCAGCCTTGGCGAGGCCACAGCTGGAGTACTGCATCCAGTTTTGGGCTCCACAATTCAAAAAGGATGTGGAGAAGCTTGAGAGAGTCCAGAGAAGAGCCATGCACATGATCAGAGATCAGGAAAACACCTTACGACAACAGGCTGAGATCTATGAGGCTCCTTAGCCTGGAAAAGCGCAGGCTCAGGGGTGATCTGATGGCCACCTATAAGTTTATCAGGGGTGACCACCAGTATCTGGGGGAATGTTTATCAGAGCACCCCAAAGGATGACGAGATCGAAGGGTTATAAATTACTGCAAGACCATTTCAGGCCAGACGTAAGGAAGAATTTCTTTACTGTCCGAGCCCCCAAGGTCTGGAACAGCCTGCCATCAGAGGTGGTTCAAGCACCTACATTGAACACCTTCAAGAGTAAATTGGATGCTTATCTTGCTGGGATCCTATGACCCAAGCTGACTTCCTGCCCTTCGGGCGGGGGGCTGGACTCAATAATCTTCCAAGGTCCCTTCCAGTCCTAATATCTATGAAATCTATGAAACAATCGAACATCCATAATAACATATTTTTATTTAAAAAAAATTGTCCTGATTTGTGTGTTTACATTGTGTATATAGAGGTGATTGCATAATAGCTCAAAATGAAGTCTTACCCTTGTATATTGGAGAGGTATGGACAGGTGGATATGGGGGTTGTCAGTGTGTGTATGTGGGATGTGGGGTAGTCAGGGGTATATGTGGATGTTGATGGGTGGGTATGGGGGGTTTGTGGGGATGTGTGGGAGTAGGTATAGGGTTTGTGGGAGGCTGTGGGGTGTGGAGGGGGAGGGTGGCTGGGGGTGTTTGTGCAGGTGTGTGTATGTGGTGGGGTGTGTGTGCATAGCA